TCATGATATAATAGGAATCTAGTCTTGAGGATGTAGGGTATTAATGGGTGAGACAAGATCTGTGCACAAATTGGGGGTAGACTACTCAAGGCATAGGTCAAAAATCAGAAATGCAGAGTCTTGGATGCCTAGACCTTGAGAATATCATGCTAAGCTAAATGAGTCAGACAGAAAAAGCTGAGAATCATATGATTTCACTTATATGTGGGATATAAAACTGAAAACAACAAATGAACAAGACGAACAAACAGACTCATTAACACGGACAACAGTTTAGTGGTTACCAGAGGGAAATGGGGGAGAGGGGAGGTAGATAAGAGTAACGAGGGTCAAATGCGTGGTGACAGAAGGAAATTTAACTTTGGTGAACACACAATACAATATACATATGAAATATTATTGAACTATATACTTAAAACCTAATTGTTACATAATGTCACCCCAATAAGTTTAATAAAATAAAATAAATAATCGAAATAAATAAATAAATAAATAAATGGGTAAATAAATAAATAAATAAATGATAAAATAGTGAAAATTGGAAACTAAATACCCAATGGTTAAGTAAATTTGGATACACGCAAATGATAAAATATTAGAAAGTCATAAAAATTTAAAAAATAATATACTACATGAAGCTCAGAATATAAAGATAGTTTTCAAAAGCTGAAAATAAAATTTTATTCAATATCATGACTTTTTATAAACAAAAAGTGATTAAATGTGTGTGCACGTGCATTCATATGCATAGTGATTACATAATAGCTATTTGTTCAGGCCTGTCTTCTTCATGGGGTGGTAAGCTCCATGTGAGCAGGGACCATGTCTGTCTTGGTCACCTCTTGACTAGCACATTTCCGGCAAGTAGTAATTTGCTTAACGAATAGTTGCTAAATAAATGAATGGCATAGTCTCATCTCCTTTAAGCATGGTGAAAAGGGGCATCTGGTTTGGAGGATGAGGAGCTCTGGGTATCCATTTCTTCCCCCATTTTCAGTAGCTTAGCAAGAATTTGGCTCAGCATCTTAGTGGAATAAAGGGCTGATAACCAAGGCTGAGCTCCACTGGAGACTCCCCTGTTTAACAAACTTACTTCTTCATCTAGCAGGCACACTTCCGATTCCTACAGCGTTTGTGGGTGATGGAGTCCCTCTCTACTGAAAAGCTTGCCATAGTGTTTCTAGTCTAGTCATACTCACCCTTAGACTCCCTCCATGTGGGAAAGGGAGAGTTCAGAGGATTGTTATGCTCTGCTACTTATCTGCTTGTGAGCTTTTCCACAATAAGCCATGTGGTTCTACGTGTGTGTATGTGCATGTGTACCTTTTGTACGATAGGTGGAAACATGATGCATTTGGTTTTGTACGTGATGAGCTTGAGGTTCCCGTGGGATGTTCATGTAGAAATATCTAATACAGAGTTAGGTTTTATGATCCATAACTTAGCATCTGGGTTGGAAATAAAAATTGAGGATTGTCAGTATGCATTGCCTTTTGACTGTTATGGGAGTGTAGGGGAAGGGCACCCAGCCCCAAGAGCCCATGGACAATCTCCTGGAAGAGAGAAGACCTGAGATGGGTCTTTGAGGATGGAATATCCTGGGTTAACAGGGTATGAGAAAAGAAGATGATTTTTCAGGGAGAGAACACAGCCCTTGTCACGGTAGGGGTAATGGGTCCCATTCAGCATCTATAACTTTCCCTGGACAGCTATCAACAGAGATCCCAACTCATCCTTATTTCCTGACAACTTCTCTTTGGCCTGTGACAGCCTTGAGCCACTATGAACCTCCTCAATTGATTCTGCAAGGAACTTTTCCCAAACTTGCTAATGAGAGCCTTTCTTAATTAACAAGGAATGTTAAGATTGTATTTGATGCCCAAAGCTACTTTCAGGAGTTAGAAAAACTAGAGTAGTCCTGGTCTAGAAGATATTCCAAATTTTTATCTTCCTTTATGGTGTTTGGAGCATGAGGCTGGAAAACATTTAGGGTCAGAATACTAAAGGATCTGGATTATGCTGTGGGAACAGAGATAAGGCAAGGCATTTGTTTGAGACTAGAAGAGAAGCCGGGTTTGACAGTGGTTTGAGTTGTGATGGGAGATGTGAGGTGACCTTGTGAGATGATGGAGGGGATGCTGCTCCAGGGATGAAATAGGAGCAATTCCTGCCCCAGGCTCCACCCTCCTCTCAGCCCTATGCTGCAGGCAAGGCTAGGGAGTTACAAGTCACTACTCCTCCCTTCTAAGATGATGGGCTGGACTAAATCAGAAACCCCACATCTCAGCTCCATCCTTAGCACTGTGTGACCTTTACTGCACTTGGAGACTTTCTGAGATTTATTTTAACTCTGTAAAATTCTGATAAGAGTGCAAGGCTCAAAAAATATTTTTGTTAAATGAATGGATTTTGCCATATTCATGAAGGCCATACTTGGATTCATTTAGAGGAAGTCAAAAACATTTTAAATATACAAGAGATAATTATGTCTGTGGAAAAGGCAGGTGTTTATCTGACTCTGGTTCCCCTTGGAAGGTGCTAATTTCTGAGGACTCCAGGGAAAATCCCAATGTAAAAATGATGTCAATTGAGTTGTTTGTCTTTTTGTCTCTCTGTCTTTATAAGCTATCCCCTCTGTGGCGGCCTCTGGGCTGGCATAACTATCCTTCCTCTTTGCCCAAGAAATGTCTGTCTCCTTGGCTGGGTGAGTGCCACCTCAGGACCCCTCACTTCACACTCTCAACTTGATTTCCTTATAAGTGCAGTTCATCCCTTGAACTTTGAAATGGCTTCTCCCTTTCCCTGAAAAGATCTGGTGAGATTTGGGGGCTTGAATGTGAGGGTTAGAGGGAGGGAGGAGTCAGTGATAAGTAAAGTTTCAAGCCTTGTTAGCTGAGAGAATGGCATGGCTGTTACCCAAATAATTAAGAGTAGATTGAGCATGAATTTCGTATCAGGATAGACTGAGTGTGAGGTGATCCTCAAACATGTCCCTGTAAAACAGGCCAGACCATTAGATGGTGGTTGACTCATTGTGGACTTGAGAACATTATTCTCAACATTAGTCATCAAGAAATGTGTTCCTCTGCTCATGCCTCTTTGTCCCTTAGAGAGCTCTAACTTCAGCCTTTTCCTGTTCAGGGTAGACTCCATGTGAGTGACTTAAATATCCTTTCCTTAGCCAGAGGTTGAAGCAGAGCACTATGTATTTTATTAGTGTGACCACCTCGGGGTTGGGGAAAGGAAAGCATTGTCTAAGTGATCATGCGTGTGGGCAGCACAGCATTGTAACAGACTTTGGCCTTATCTGGTCATCAGGTCCATGATGGTATGTATGTTGGATGATGTGCATTTAGAACCAGGAGACAGATGAGCAAGAAGGTAAGTGATATTGGAATTAGAGGCATAGGGAAATTCAGAGTCTAAGTTTCTGCTTATCTAGCTGTGTGAGAGCTCAACTGGGTATCCACTGAACACATCTGGGAGCTTACACCTGGAAGCTTTCACCCTATTCACAAGCTCTTTTTACTTTTTTCTTATTCAGTAAAAGGTCAATATTTTGAAGCTCAAATTTCTTAGACTCTATATAGAAAAATGCAACATAATCTTACTATTTAGAAAACCTAAAAAGCTACTAGTCACCAGCTATGGAGATGTCCCAGCGATATCTCATTAATTTCACTGTTTTCATTTCATTGCATTTTACTTTTTTTCTGAAAAGTCCAGACTAAGTTTCATGGTTTCACAAATTAATCTCTTAATAGGCTGAGCAATGGCACTTGTCACTACTGTCATCACATTTGATGACATATGTATGTGGAGATTTCAGGAACACTGGTTGCGGGGGACATGCCTTCCTGTTCCTTTCCTCTGCAGCTTCCATTTCACCCTCTGAATATTGTGCACCCGAATTATGGCCATGCCACCATATGCAGGCTTGGAGTTTTCTTCTTGGAACTCTGGTCTCAGGAAAATAATCTCCCCCTTTAAATTTCAAGTATTATATTTGTTCTCCTTTTTATGTCAATTAATCTATGCTTGTTTGAGTCTGTCCAGTACCATTGTTCTTACCGATACATATTTCTTTACCACTCAAAGTTAAATTTCCTTTCGTCACCATATGTTTGACCCCTTTTACCCTCATCTACCTCCCCTCCTCACTTCCCTCTGGTAACCACTAAACTGTTGTCCATGTCCATGAGTTTCTGCTTCTCTTGTTTGTTGTTGTTTTCAGTTTTATATCTTCTGTATGAGTGAAATTATATGGTTCTCAAATTTTCTGCCTGGCTTATTTCACTTAGCATGCTATATCAAGATCCATCCATACTGTCACAAATGGCAGCATTTTATCTTTTCTGATGGCTGAGTAATATTTCATTGTACATATGTATCACATCTTCTTTATCCAGTCACCTATCAAAGGACACTTCAATTGTTTCTATGCCTTGGCCACTGTGAATAATGCTGCTATGACCATCGGGGTGCATATATCTTTGTGGATGAATGTTTTCAATTTTTTTAGGTAGATATCCAGAAGAGGGATTGCTGGGTCACATGGTAATTCTATTTTTCATATTTTGAGGAACTTTCATACTGTTTTTCATAGTGTTTTTACCAATTTACATTCCCTCCAGCAGTGTATCAGGGTCCCTTTACCCCCACAATCTCTCCAATACTTGCTATTACTTGTCTTGTTGATGATAGCCACACACAATGCAATATACATATGATGTATTATGGAATTGTACACTTGAAACCTACATAATTTTATTAACCAAAATCACCCCAATAAATTTAATAATAAAAAGGTTGTATTTATTAAGTCTTTTCTTATTATGTCTCAGTCTTTAACTTTCTTCTCATTGAATTTTGTGTCCCTACATCTTGATGCTCTCCTGGACATGGCTACATTTGGTGGTTGCTATCAAGATCTCATTCTCCTTTTACCACCACTGGCACCTTCTAGCTTTGCTCAGCTCTACTGCTGGTGGAAGACAGCCATGGATCTGGGAGCCTCAGGAAATAACTCAGTTGTCACTGAGTTTGTCCTGTTGGGCCTAACAGAGAGTCCAGCTCTACAGCCCATCTTCTTTGTCATATTCCTTCTTGCTTATGTAGCTACTGTAGGTGGCAATTTCAGCATTCTGGCTGCCATCCTCGTTGAGCCCAAACTCCACACTCCCATGTACTTCTTCCTGGGGAACTTGTCCCTGCTGGATGTTGGGTGCATCAGTGTCACTGTCCCTGCCATGCTGCGTCAATTCCTGTCCAATAAGAAAAGCATTCTCTATAGGGCTTGCATCTCACAGCTCTTTTTCTTCCACTTCCTGGCTGGGGTAGACTGCTTCCTGCTTACCGTCATGGCCTATGACCGCTACCTGGCCATTTGCCAGCCCCTCACCTACAGCACCCGCATGAGCCGGGGAATCCAGCAAGCCCTGGCCGGCATGTCATGTGGCCTTTCCTTTGCCAACGCACTGACCCAAACTGTTGCCTTATCTACTCTTAAATTCTGTGGTCCCAATGTGATCAATCATTTTTACTGCGACCTCCCACAACTCTTCCAGCTCTCCTGCTCCAGTATCCAATTCAATGAGCAGTTGCTCTTTATAGCAGCAGCCTTCATGGCCGTCACCCCCTTGGTCCTCATCATTGTGTCCTATGCACATGTTGTAGCTGCAGTTCTGCGAATCCGCTCTGCCGAAGGCAGGAAAAAAGCCTTCTCCACGTGTGGCTCCCATCTCACTGTGGTTGTCATATTCTATGGTTCAGGTATCTTTAACTACATGCGACTAGGTTCAGCCAAGCTTTCAGATAAAGATAAAGCTGTCGGAATTTTTAACACTATTGTTAACCCCATGCTGAATCCAATCATCTACAGCCTCCGGAACCCTGATGTGCAGGGCGCCCTGAGGCGGGTGCTCATGAGAAGACCACTTCCCAAGTGACATCTCTTCCTCTGACCTTAGAGAATGTCATGGCTCCACTTACTGCTTCCATGAGGTATTGTGATTAGTGCAAGTGGAATGCGGATATGAGGAAACTGAGTCAGAGACTGGTTTAGGAAGGAGAGTACAATAAAAATTATAATAGCTGTCTCTTATATCGTGATTACTACAGGCATTGTTCTAAATGACTAATATCTATTAATTTATATAATCCTTATAGCAACCCTATGAGGTACATATGGATTCACAAATTACAAATTAGGAAATGGAATCTCAGAGAGGCTAAGTAACTTGCCCAAAGTCACATAGTTAGTGAATATCAGAGCTGCGATTTGAACCTAGGCAGGCTACTTCTTTAACTACTGCCTATCAAAAATTAAACCATTTCAAGGAGGAAGGGTATGTGTAAGGTGGAGTGGGGAAAATGGATGGGCACTGTAGAGAAAAAAAGAAAAATAATCAGTGTGATAAGAAAAAAACTATTTAAATAAAATGAAAATGTGAATTATAAAGTTTTTGTTCCTTTAACAGATTTACAGTTTGTTCCAGGGCAGCTGATATAGGTTGAGGGAATTGTTGGATGCCAATTTCAACAAGTAAACCAACAAAAAGAAGAAATTTTAAAACCAAGTCTGAAGGAGTAGGCCCTGTTTAGAAAAATCATAGAGATGAGATAGAGCATTATCATATTGGGCCAATGATAACAAAAAATACATACAATAAAGTTAATTAGAGAAAGAGATTCAGCTCATTTGGAAGTTTTTCTGATCAAATGACAATCTTTGCCATCTCTGACATATACCTGAAACCAGCCCCCTCTGTCTGCATTGTGGTAAGGAGGTAGGGCTTTCATTTATACCTTTAAACAACTCTCTCTATAATGCAATAAAGTGCATGCATATTAAAAAATTAGAAAGTACAAAAACAAAATTAAAATTACCCATACCTTCATTCAGAGATGATCATCATGGACATTAAGCATATAATTATTTTAAAAAATTGCACACCTAATACATATTTGCAAAAATAGAATTATTCTATACCTAAAGCTGTAAGCTTCTCTTTTCACTGAATAATGTAGGTGGATATCTTTCCATGAAACTAAATATAAATTTCCCTCATCTTTTTCCTTTGACTGCATAGTAATCCTTTGAATGGATGGAACAAAATGGATTCAACAGCCTTGTATTAGTGATTGAGTGCTGGTTCAGATAATCTTGTATGGAGTGCCACAATGAACATTCTTATACATTCATCTGTGCACACTCTTGTAATTATTTGCTGATGATAAAGTCCAATGAATAGAATTCCTGGGTCAAAGGACATGAACTTTTTCAAGGTATTTGAAAACATATTGCCAAATTGATATTCAAAAAAGGTTGAACAAATTGACACCTCTATAATCACTTCTATCTTTGCCAATATGATAGGCCAAATGTTATAACTCAGTGCTCCTTTAATTCTTAATTAGTTAATCACTAGTAAAGTATGTATATATACATATGTGTACATATATACACACAAAGACAAACATCTTAGAAATATATATTTCTAAATATATATATTTAGACATAGATAAAATACATAAAATATACATTATAAATATATGTTGACACAGATATATCTTTTTTTTACAAATTGGAAAGTGCTCTTATTAATGATATTAATTCTTTGTCTCATGAATGTTGTAAATGTGATGCTCTCTTTTGCCATAAAGTTTTAAATTTATATGTAGTTGAATTACATGATCTTTTTTTCTATAAGGTTTTGATATCTGCTTTTGGTATCATGCCTAGAAAAAAGGTTTTTCATTTTTGAATGAATAAATTCATTGATTTCC